GTTATTTCCTGAGAAGTCAAAAACGTCCTGATTAACAACGAGTTTCTTTGGGCATCAACTGACTTTAGCATAAGTCAGGGCACGATCAGAATTTCATACGCTAGCCCATCTGAATTCTATGCTGATACCTGTACAAGCATCTTCCTAAGACTAGTAATCAATGTTAGATATTGCACCTTGGCCAAATATCATTGTGGAGATATTATGGCATCTGACTATTTGACTGCATCTGAGCATGCAGAATCTTGCTTTTAAATACCACTCAATGACTTGCCACTCAATGATTTCAAGTAATTATAACCAGTGTATTTTCCAAATCATCCTTGGCTTTGTAGGGTTTGCCTTTCCCCAGGTTATAAATCTATTCACAAAATGGATGATTGTTATGAGGATATATCTCTATGATTTTTAAAACTTTCAACTTTTTGGAACTGTTGAAACTGAATAGAAATGAGGCAAAATGCTTAAAACGCAATGTCACTTCAAGGTGTAAAAGAACGAACAAAGCAACCTTGGCAGAAATAATTGCAAATAACGTGGCTCCCTACAATCTAGATACTTATCTAAACTTGTCATGATCTTGGAAAAACATTGAAAAATGTAAAGTAAAAGACATTGATGTCAGTTACCACCTGAATGGATTAACTGACAGTATGAGCATAAGACATAGGGGCCTAAATGAACATTCAGCCCATCAAGTCCACTTCGTCATTCAATGAGATCATGGCTGATCTGATAATCCTCAACTCCACTTTTCTGACTTTTCCCATAACCCTTGATTCACTTACTGATTGAAAAGTTTATCTATCACTGCATTAAATATACTTAATGACCAAGCATAACAGCCCTCTAAAGAATTCCACAGATTCACTACTCTCAGAGAAGATGTTCCTCCTCATTACTATCTCAAGTGGGCTACCCCTTACCCTTAGGTTATGTCCTATGTCCTCTCCTATAAGAGGAAACAACCTCTCCACATCTATTCTGTCAACCCTGCTAAGAATTTTGTATGTTTCAATAAGGTAGCCTCTCAGACATCTAGACAAATGAATACAAGTCCATCCTACTAAACTTCTCCTCAAAAGAAAATCCTTTGATACCTGGAATCAATCTAGCGAACCTTCTCTAAATTGCTTCTAAGATCAGTATATCTATCCTTGGATAAGGGATCAAAACTGTTTCCAGTATTCCAGGTGTGATCTGACTAGTGCCTTGTATAGATTTAGCAACACCCCCATATTCTTATGTTCCATTCCCTTTGAAATAAAAGACTTACATTACATTTGCCTCTCCTATTACCCACTGAAGTTGAATGCTAGCTTTTTGTGATTTGTGCACAAGTACCACCAAATCCCTCTGTGCTGCAGCTTGTTCTAGATTTTCACCATTTAAGTAATATTCAGTTCTTCTATTCTTCCTGCCAAAGTGCATAATCCTACATGTTCTCAGATTATTTTCCATCTGCCATGTTTTTGCTCACTCGTTTAACCTGTGTTTAACCAGAATCCCTCTGTAGATTCATCTGTTGTCATCACTACATACCTTCCCATCTATTTTTGTGTCATCCACAAACTTGACTATAGTACTTTCACTTCTATCATCCAAATCATCAATATATATTGTAAATAATTGTAGTCCTAACACTGATCCCTGTGGCACTTCACTGACTAATTACAGGTTGTCTTTCTGAAAACACCACTTTATCCCAGCTTTCTATCTTCAATTAGCCAATCGTCTATCCATGCTCATACACTGCCCCCAACACTATGGACTATTCTCTTATTAAATAGTTCATTGTGTGGTACATTCTCAAATGCCTTTTGGAAATCCAAATATATTTCATCCACTGGTTCCCCTTTATTTGTCCAACTTGTTACCTCCTCAAGAAACTCTAATAAATTAGTCAGATACGATTTCCCTTTCATGAAATAAGTCTGGCATTGCTTGACTTTACTATGTGTTTCTAAATGTTCAGTTATTACATCCTTTATAATAGACTGAAGCATTTTTCCAGTGACCTGTGCTAAGCGAAGTAACCTATATTTACCTTTCTTTTGTCTCCCTCCCTTTTTGATTAAGGGTGTTACAATGGCAGTCTTCCAATCATCTGGGACTTTTCCTGAATCTAAGGATTCTTGGAAAATTACTGCTAGTACATCAACTATCTCTGTAGCTGCATTTTATTTAAATGTTAGGATGCAACCCATCAGGCCCAGGGGACATATCAGGCTTTAGACCAAATAGTTTCCCTAGTACATATTATCTAGTGATAGCTATGTTTCTTTGCTGTGCGTAGAAATAGCAGCCTAATTAGGAACTGACTGAAGCCATATCCTCATACTTGACTCAGCTAGGCCCTTTGTGTTGGGTGCATATAAATTCAGCTAGTAATTTCAGTTGACTTGAAACAGGAGCATGCATTTTCTGGAAAAGAAATGTCTCAAAACAAAAATTACTGTTTATTCAAAACAGGTTTTTTAAAATCAAATTCAAATTTCACCCTCTGCTGTGATGGGACTTGAACCCATACCACCAGAGTAATAGCTTGAGCCTCTGGATTACTAGCCCAGTGACAATATCATTTGACCAACACCACTAGGAAAGGGATCGGTATATAACGCAGGGCAAGAGTTATAGCTGGGGGAAAGGCAATTATGAGGCGATGAGGCAAGATTTAGGATGCATAGGATGGAGAAGGAAACTGCAGGGGCTGGGCACAATTGAAATGTGGAGCTTGTTCAAGGAACAGCTACTGCATGTCCTTGAGAAGTATGTACCTGTCAGGCAGGGAGGAAGTGGTCGAGCGAGGGAACCGTGATTTACTAAAGAAGTTGAATCTCTTGTCAAGAGGAAGAAGGAGGCTTATGTAGAGATGCGGTGTGAAGGCTCAGTTAGGGCACTTGAGAGTTACAAGTTAGCCAGGAAGGACCTAAAGAGAGAGCTAAGAAGAGCCAGGAGGGGACATGAGGAGTCTTTAGCAGGTAGGATCAAGGAAAACCCTAAAGCTTTCTATAGGTATGTCAGGAATAAAAGAATGACTAGAGTAAGATTGGGGCCGGTCAAGGACAGTAGTGGGAAGTTGTGCGTGGAGTCCGAAGAGATAGGAGAGGTGCTAAATGAATATTTTTCGTCAGTATTCACACAGGAAAAAGACAATGTAGTCGAGGAGAATACTGAGATACAGTCTATTAGACTAGACGGGATTGAGGTTCATAAGGAGGAGGTGTTAGCAATTCTGGAAGGTGTGAAAATAGATAAGTCCCTGGGCCGGATGGGATTTATCCTAGGATTCTCTGGGAAGCTAGAGAGGAGATTGCAGAGCCTTTGGCTTTGATCTTTATGTCGTCATTGTCTTCAGGAATAGTGCCAGAAGACTGGAGACTAGCAAATGTTGTCCCCTTGTTCAAGAAGGGGAGTAGAGACAACCCTGGTAATTATAGACCAGTGAGCCTTACTTCGGTTGTGGGTAAAGTGTTGGAAAGGATTATAAGAGGATTTATAATCATCTAGAAAGGAATAATTTGATTAGGGATAGTCAACACGGTTTTGTGAAGGGTAGGTCATGCCTCACAAACCTTATTGAGTTCTTCGAGAAGGTGACCAAACAGGTGGATGAGGGTAAAGCGGTTGATGTGGTGTATATGGATTTCAGTAAAGCGTTTGATAAGGTTCCCCATGGTAGGCTATTGCAGAAAATACAGAGGCATGGGATTGAGGGTGATTTAGCGGTTTGGATCAGAAATTGGCTAGCTGTAAGAAGACAGAGGGTGGTGGTTGATGGGAAATGTTCATCCTGGAGTTCAGTTACTAGTGGTGTACCTCAAGGATCTGTTTTGGGGCCACTGCTGTTTGTCATTTTTATAAATGACCTGGATGAGGGCGTAGAAGGATGGGTTAGTAAATTTGCGGATGACACCAAAGTCGGTGGAGTTGTGGATAGTGCGGAAGGATGTTGCAGGTTACAGAGGGACATAGATAAGCTGCAGAGCTGGGCTGAGAGGTGGCAAATGGAGTTTAATGCGGAAAAGTGTGAGGTGATTCACTTTGGAAGGAGTAACAGGAATACAGAGTACTGGGCTAATGGTAAGATTCTTGGTAGTGTGGATGAGCAGAGAGATCTCGGTGTCCATGCGCATAGATCACTGAAAGTTGCCACCCAGGTTGATAGCGTTGTTAAGAAGGCGTACGGTATGTTAGGTTTTATTGGTAGAGGGATTGAGTTTCGGAGCCATGAGGTCATGTTGCAGCTGTACAAAACTCTGGTGCGGCCGCACTTGGAGTATTGAGTACAGTTCTGGTCACCGCATTATAGGAAGGATGTGGAAGCATTGGAAAGGGTGCAGAGGAGATTTACCAAGATGTTGCCTGGTATGGAGGGAAGGTCTTATGAGGAAAGGCTGAGGGTCTTGAGGCTGTTTTCGTTAGAGGGAAGAAGGTTAAGAGGTGACTTGATAGAGACATACAAGATGATCAGAGGATTAGATAGGGTGGACAGTGGGAGCCTTTTTCCTCGGATGGTGATGGCTAGCACGAGGGGACATAGCTTTAAATTGAGGGGTGATAGATATAGGACAGATGTCAGAGGTAGGTTCTTTACTCAGAGAGTAGTAAGGGCGTGGAATGCCCTGCCTGCAAAAATAGTAGACTCGCCCACTTTAAGGGCATTTAAATGGTCATTGGATAAACATATGGATGATAATGGAATAGTTTAGGTTAGATGGGCTTCAGATTGGTTTCACAGGTCGGCGCAACATCGAGGGCTGAAGGGCCTGTACTGCGCTGTAATGTTCTATGTCCTAGGTTCTATGTTCTATGTTCTAGGTTTTTTGGAGGAGGAGTGACAGCATGATGCAAATTCAAGGGCCTAGAAATTTTAACAGTTTTGATGGTGACATATAAATTTTAAATGAGTTGTCAATTGTCTGAACAATTGTTGTTTAGATTTTCAATTGTTTCATCTTAGAACTCCACCATTTATATGTAATGTTTTTTTCTTCCAGGCATGGTGAATGGTGGAAAGCCAAATCTCTTGTAACTAGAAAAGAAGGATACATTCCCAGCAATTATGTGGCAAACATCAACACACTGGAAACAGAGGAGTACGTTGCTTCTATTTTGATACTTAAGTGCAGTTTGGTTTTTGCTTACTGGACACCAAATTAATAAACAAACATTTGATGTTTTTGAGGTGGTTCTTTAAAGATATCAGCCGCAAAGATTCAGAGAGACTCCTATTATCACCTGGAAATAAATCTGGTGCTTTCCTTATTAGGGAGAGTGAAACATCAAAAGGTAGGACTTTATAACTGCTTTCCTTCATTTTACATCTTATGACTGATCTGACTCTGCAGGATTATGGAGTTATTACTATTTACTTAGATGTATGCTGTTTTACATAAACACATTTTAGGTATACAAAATCATGAGATGTAGGGACAGAGGAGATTATGAGAATCTCTTCCCCATGGCAGATGTGTCTGAAGGCAGAGGACACAAGTTTAAGATGGGGAGCAAGTGGTTTGGAGGAGATAATAGAAGGAATCCTTTCACCCAGAGGGTGATTGATTTATTGTCATATGTACCAAAATACAGTGAAAAGATTTGTTTACAAGTGGTGCAGGCAGATCACAGCAAGTAAAGGATGTACAGATCAAAAAAGAACTTAGAGGCATATAGGTTATATTATTTGAGGCTAGAGTCCATTCAACAGTCTGATAATGACCAGAAAGAAGCTGTTCCTGAACCTGCTCGTGCGTGTGTTTGGGCTTCTGTATCTTCTGCCTGATGGAAGAGTTTGCAGGAGGTCATTACCAGGGTGTAATGGATCTTTGATGACATTGGCCACCTTTCCGCAGCAGTGAGCTTTGTAATTAGAGTCCATGGATGGAAGGTGGGCTTCTATGATGGCCTGGGCTGTGAGTGCCACCTTCTGTAGTTTCTCATGGTCTTGGGCAGAGCAGTTGCTATACCAGGCCCGTAATGCACCTGAACAGTGTGGTTTCAATGGTGGATATACCTACTTTGACAACTATTCAAAAGCATCTGGATTATTACTTGAAATGCAAGGGCATAGCGGGCTATGGACCAAGTGTAGGCAAATGGGATTAGCATAGTCGGGTGCTCGTTTGTTAGTGTAGACACAATGGGCTGAAGGGCCTGTTTCTATGCTGTTTGACTTTTGGACTCCTGTTTTATTTTATGGAGTTATGTTTAACTCCAAATTTCCATATTTTTCAGGTAGAAGTTTGCACATGGTTCTCAACAAAAAAAATCTTTAGCTCCGTAGGATATTGTGAACGTTGAGCTGAGCAAATTACTATAATTTTGTGTAGAAGAAAAGCAAGAATTAAAATGTACATCAAAATAACTGAAGCTTTTTATAAAGTAAGGATTCTTTTAAGCAAATATCTTTTGAGAGGTGTGTTCCTAGAATGCTGTGGAAAGGAATTATCTCTTCAGATTTTTCACATAATGTCATCATTTGAACAATTCCAGCTTTGGTGTTAAGAAGATCATTTGTATCTGTTCTATTCCCAACACCACAAAGCCTCATTCCAACTTCTGAGCTTTCTTTACTGTACCATTATGAAATTGAGTGCTCCCCACAGGGGCTAAGTAATGAGTTTCTATATGTAAAATGGGTGGTATTTAATGGAGGAAGTCCAAGGACTTGCCCAGCTACAGGAGACCTGACGATAACTCCATGTTCTTTCTTTTCTCGAAGATCTGTTGAGACAATGTGGGCCCTCCCCAGGATCCAGGGTTAGAAGTTCCATGCATTTTAAAGGCTAGCAGATTTTCATTGCTCAACAGTGCCACCAGGGAAGCAGTAGCTCATGTTGATAGCACACTTACACAAGGCCTAGGATTTCCTATCAATTTAGGCATAGGCGACTGATGGTAAATGGGGATCAGCCATATGGGCTTTGGGTAGCTCTCAATTTTCCTGATACTGGGCCCTTCAATTGGGCACTGAATACCTTTTGAACAGGAAATACCCCATCACAAGAGCCTGCAAGCAATCCCAATCACGTTCATTTTCAGGGTCCCCACATGCTACATTGCCTGCTGCCAGATAAATACCATTGGTGGTGGGATGAGGCTTTAAGTGGGTTTTAATTGCCCTGTTAAGGGCTTCAATTTAACACTTCATGGGCCTCCTATCAAAGACTTAATTGGGGCAATGGTAAAAGTGACAATTCCTTATCTGCCAATCATATGCCTGATTAAATGTCCCCACCACCAAACCTGTAATGGCAAAAATAGATTTGTCACAATGGATGCTGTTAAGTCTGAGATCCTACATTTTCAATGAATAAACACTATATCATTTTTTTCCAAGTGAAAAACTGAAGCAATGTAGACGCAATAATTTAATGTAAAATATTATCAAAATAACTGTTGAATTTTTTGCATTTATTATTAGTTAGCTGCAATGTAAATGAGTGGAGGTTTTGCTAAAGCTATGCAAAGCTTTGGTTGGGCATAGGTATCTTAGGATATATTGGTCCTGGAGGGGGTTCTGTGTAGAGGTATCAGTATATTACCAGAACTCAAAGGATTACATTTTGAGGGGTATTTATATAAATTTGTCATGTATGCTCTGGAATAATACAAAGTTTAGCAAGATTTGATAGAACTTTTCAAGATTTGAAAGAAATTATTAGAAAAGTTAGAAGCTTTTTCTGCTAGTGAGAAAGTGTGGGACAAGGAAACATAAATTCAGAAGTAGACTTTGTGAAGGGAAGTTAAAAGACACTTCTTCACCAATTGGGTGGTAAAAATGTGGAGTTGAAAGACAGATTAGCCATGATCTCACTGAATCATGGAACAGATTTGAGCAATTGAATGACCCAATCTTTGCACTTCCCAGTAATTGGGTCGAATTAGAGGCAGTCAACAAAAATAACAAACTTGTCTATACTTTTATACTTAGATACCAAATGTAAAAATTAACACAGCGCATATTTATTTTGACAAAAGTCATGTTTTTACTTACAGAGCTCATTTTTGAACCCTATTCTATTTCTCAGGTAGTTACTCACTGTCAATGAGAGATTATGATCTTCAGATTGGTGATGTAGTTAAACACTACAAGATTCGATGCCTGGACAGTGGCGGATTTTACATCTCTCCTAGAATTACATTTCTTGACCTAAATCAGCTAATTAAACATTACCAAAGTAAGTACTTGCATTTTGTTTTACAACATATCTGAAATGTAGCTTGATGCACAAGCGTCACAGTGAAACATAGTAATTTTACTGTAGCTGGACAAAAACCCAAATGCAGTCATTAAAGTCATCGTGTCATGGAGATATACAACACAGAAACAGACCCTTCGATCCAACTCATCCATGCTGACCAGATATCCTATATAAATCCAGTCCCATTTGCCAGCATTTGGCCTATATCCCTCTAAACCCTTCCTATTCATATACCCATCCAGATGACTTTTAAATGTCGTAATCATAACAGCCTCCATCATTTCCTCTGGCAACTTATTCCATACTTGTGCCACCTTCTGCATGAAAAAGTTGCCCCTTAGGTCCCTTTTAAATCTTTTTCCTCTCACCTTAAACCCTCTTTTGGACTAACCCACCCTAGGGGAAAAGACCATGCCTATTTACCCTATCCATGCCTCTCATGATTTAATAAACCTCTATAAGGTCACCCCCTCAGCCTACGATGCTCCAATGAAAATATACCCAGCCTATTCAGCCTCTCCCTATAGCTCAAACCCTCCAACCCTGGCAACATCCTCATAAATCCTTTCTGAACCCATTTCAAGTTTCACAACATTTCCCCTATAAGAGGGAGATCAGAATTGAACGCAATACTTTAAAAGTGGCCGAACCAATGTCCTGTACAGCCACAACATGACCTCCCAACTCCTGTACTCAATGCATTGACCAATAAAGGCAAGCGTACCTACTTCCTCTCGTAGCTCATTCCATACATGCACCAACTCTTGTGAAAAAGTTGCCCCGTGGGTCCCTTCTAAATCTTTCCCCTCTCAGCTTAAACTTATGCCTTCTAGTTTTGGACTCCGCCACACTGGGGAACTGTTTACCCTATCCATGCCCCTCATGATTTTATAAACCTCACTATCCTTCCTCACTATCCTTTCTACCTGCGACTCCACTTTCAAGGAACTATGAACCTGAATTCCAAGGTCTCTTTATTCAGCAACACTCCCCAGGACCTTACCATTAATTATATAAGTCCTGCACAGATTTGTCTTTCCAAAATGCAGCACCTCACATTTATCTAAACTAAACTCCATCGCCACTCCTCGGCCCATTGGCCCCTCCAATCAAGATCCCGTTGTACTCTGAGGTAACCTTCTTTGCTGTCCACTACATCTCCAATTTTAGTGTCATCTGCGGACTTACTGACGATACTTCTATGTTCACATCCAAATCATTTATATAAATAACGAAAAGCAGTGGACCCAGCAATCCTTGTGACACACTGCCGATCTCAGGTCTCCAGTCTGAAAAGCAACCCTCCACCACCACCCTTTGTCCTCTACCTTTGAGGCAGTTCTGCATCCAAATAGCTAGTTCTCCCTGTATTCCATGTGATCTAATCTTGCTAAGCAGTCTACCATGAGGAACCTTGTCGAACACCTCACTGAAGTCCAATAAGATCACATCCTCTGCTCTGCCCTCATCAATCTTCTTCATTACTTCTTCAAAAAACTCTAGTTAATGAGATATGATTTCCCATGCACAAAGCCATGTTGACTATCCCTAATCAGTCCTTCCCTTTCCAAATACTTGTAAATCCTGTCCGTCATGACTCCTTCCAACAACTTGCCCACCACCGATGTCAGGCTTATTGGTCTAAAGTTTTCCTTACCACCTTTCTTAAATAGTGGCACAAAGTCAGCCAACCTCCAGTCTTCTGGCACCTCACCTGTGGCTATCGATGATAAAAGTATCTCAGCAATCCCTCCCTCGCTTCCGACCAAGCTCTAGGGTACACCTGATCATGTCCCAGGGTATTATCCACCTTCATGCATTTTAAGGCAGCCAGCACCACCTCCTCTGTAATATGGACACTTTTTAAGATGTCACTATTTATTTCCCTATGTTTTCTATCTTCCATATCCTTCTCCACAGTAAACACCAATACAAAATACTTGTTTAATATCTCACCCATTTCCACACATAGGCAGCCTTGCTGATCCCTAAGGGGCCCTATTCTCTCCCCAGTTACTCTTTTGTCCTTAATGTATTTGTAGAATCCCTTTGTATTCTCCTTAACCCTATTTGCCAAAGCTATTTCATGTCCACTTTTTGCCCTCCTGATCTCTTTTATATGTATACTCCTACTGTCTTTATATTCTTCCAGGGATTCACTCGATCCCTGCTGCCTATGCCTGATGTATGCTTTCTTCTTTTTCTAGACCAAAACCTCAATTTCTCTAGTCAGCCAGCATTAGCTTGTCAATATCATGACTTTTAGCTTTAAAATAAATTGTTCAGTTTAAATTAGCCAATGTTAATCTTGGTTTGAAATCTATCAATAAGACAGCTATTGTTCTCAAATGAGTGGTGACAACTGGAAAAGAACCTTTGGTTCAACCAAACTGTCCTGTAGAGGTGTAATATCATTTTATTTTAACATTCTCCACCCCTCCCAAAAACTCTGACTTATTGGAAGAAATGAGCAATCAGTTAAAATCTTGGTTTATTTGGGGGAAAAATATCAAGGAAATTTATTTTCAAACACCAGCCCCAACCCCATTCCTTGTCCCCCTCAAGAAGTCAAAACTAGCCATGGAAATCATTCTGTCTCTGAAGTTCTTGCAGTTACTCCTTTCTGAGAAAGAAATATCTACCTCCACCTCTTATTGCCAATTCCCCACCTTCCAAACAAGCCAGAAACTGTCTAAACGTCACTTGAGCTAATTCAGCAAGTCATGAATTCATTGTATGAGATGGTAGCCTATTCGAAAGATCTATTATTCTCTAAGCAAAGAGCCATCACCTGATATATATAATCTAGCTATAATCTTATGTGACTTAGTCATGACTTTTTGTCCCCCCCTAACCTATTTATTTGAGGCAAACTATGAACTCGAATGATTCCTTTCATCATCAAATTAAACTTGATCAGATCACCCCTATATCTGGGCTTCTTGAATATCAGAACTTTTGATTTGTCTGACTACAAAAATGCTCCTAACTGGAAGTGAATTTCATGGAACCTTTCTAAAGCCTCTATCACCCACCATGTGAAGAAACCAAAGGTGAGCTCAATATTCTGGGTGAGGCATTATGACCAAACTATAGTGCAAAAACAAAATAATGTCTTGTCCAACAAATACACACTAACACTCTGCTTTTCAGTTATTGCTCATTAAACTTTAGAGATCGAAACTGGCAGTTTTGTCCAATATAATTGCTATATGTGGTGAATAGGCCACTGATATCTGGTGAATTGTAATGTTGTTCATTTTTAGAGCCAGCAGGTTTAAGTATGTTTAAGGTTTAAGGTGTTTGGTATGCTTGCCTTTATTGGTCAATGCATTGAGTACAGGAGTTGGGAGGTCATGTTGTGGCCGTACAGGACATTGGTTCTGCCACTTTAGAGTTGGATTAAAGTTGCAGTAGTGAATGAATATTGATATTGCCCAACAGATCTCAATTTGCTGTTCATTCCTAATTAAGCAAAGAAGAATTGACCACTATACTATTAGACAAGAGTCAAATGTCAGTTAGGTAGCACAGTGGCTCTGTGGTTAGCACTGCTGCCTCGCAGCACCAGGAACCTGGGTTCAATTCCATCTTTGGGCAACTGTCTGTGTGGAGTTTGCACATTCTCCCCATGTCTGCGTGGATTTCCTCCGGGTGATCTGATTTTCTCCCACAGTCTGAAGATGTGCATGTTAGATGAATTGGCCGTGCTAAATTGTCCGTAGTGTTCAGGGATGTGTAGATTAGGAGGGTTATAGGGGGATGGGTCTGGGTGGGATGCTCTGAGGGTTGGTGTGGACTTGTTGGCCCAAAGGGCCTGTTTCCACACTGTAGGGATTCTATGATCTATGATATAGTTCAATTGCTGAATTCTCTGATTTTCACCATGCCTTGAGAATGGTATACCAGGCTTATTTTGTTTAACAGTTGGTTTGAAAAACCCTTTTCAAAGCTGTCCTGGCTTTGAAAGTGACTGTATTGATCTCCAACAGCTGATTGTGTAAACATCAAAGCTCTTTTCAAAAAAATTAGACATTTGTTTTATTATTGTGTTCATTTTGTAACGTATGATGAATATTGTAATCTGACTGCCCAAGTTTAGCAAGCATAAAAAATCTAATTGGACCATACTACACTAGAATGCTCGGGCAACTTCCTTTCTTCATCTTTAATTGTTTCACTGAGGACCCTTATATGTTGAGCATTGTCACTATCACCTTCCAAAAATACAATATTCCACATTAAATCTCAACATTAACATCATTTGCTAGTTATGTGCCAAATCGCCCAGAGCATCAAGATTTGTCTGAAGTAGAGGAGAATCATCTAATTTCTTAACACTTAGAGATTTTAGTAATGTGAGCAAATTTAATGATTATGACTGACGTCCTACATTTCAGTCCATAATAAAAATAATTTCAAAAGAGGTACTTATGGCAACGCTGGTGACTAGTCTTCAACAGATCCAGATCTATCTATTATAATTTGTTTGTCAGAATATGGGCATTTATTGTCCATTCCTTTTTTTAATTCACTCATGGGGCATTGGCATGGCTGTCTGGCTCGACTTGTATTGCCCATTCCTACTTCCCATTGAGAAGGTGATAGTAAGCTGCTTCTTGAACCACTTTGTCCATGTGCTGTAGATAGACTACAAAGTTGTTGGGGAAGGATTTTGACCCAGTGACACTGATGCAATATATTTCCAAGTAAGGATGGCAAGTGGCTTGGAGGGGAATTTGGAATTGGTGTTGTTCATATGTATCTACTGCCCTTGTGCTTCTAGATATAAGTGAATTTCTGCAGTATATCTTGCAGATAGTACACACTGCTACTATTCAGTGTCATTGGTGAAGTGATTCAATGTTTGTGGATGTGGTGCCAACCTTGACTTTTAGGAGGTGATAGTGAGCTGTTGCCTTGAACAACTGCAACTCATTTGGTGTAGGTAAACCATAATGCCATTAAAGAAAGAGCTCAAGGATTTTGAACCAGCAGTACTGAAGGAACAGTGACACTCCAATTCAAAGTGTTGAGTGACTTGGAGTGGAACTTATGGGTGGTGGTATTCCATCCATCTGCTACCCTTCACCTTTTAGGTGGTAGATGTTGTGGGTTTGGAAGGTGCTTTCAGAGGAGCCTTGGCAAATTACAGTGGTGCATCTTGTAGATGGTACAACTATCTCCACCAAGAAGAAAAATCAATCACTTCCCATTGACATTCAAAGTCACTGTCATCGTAGAATCTGGAAAAATTCGGTGTATCTACAACAGTTTCCTGAGGGGAAAAAAACATATATGTGAGCAGGCTATCTTGGATCTGGTAATCCGTAATCTAAGTAAAAGATTCCCCCACCCCACCCGAGAAACAGTGAATATAATATGATAAAATTTAGCATTCAGTTTGAGATGAGAAACCTGGGTGAGAAACAACTGTGCAAAACTTAAATAAGGGTAATTTCAAGGGAATGAGGCCACAGTTTGCTGGAGTGGGCGGGAAAAGGAGTTTCGCAAAAAAGATGATTGATGAAAAATGGCAAACATTTAAGAGAGTTCATAGCAAAGATAAATCCCAGTGAGAAAGAAGAACTCTAGAAAGCGCATAAGCCAACCATGGTTAACCAAGGAGGTTAAGGATTGCATCAAATTAAAAGAGATGCAATGTGGCAAAGATTAATGGTAAACAAGATGATTGGGAAATTTTTAAATGCCAACAAAAGATGACCTTTTAAAAAAAATGGAGGAAACAAACTACGATGGTAACCTAGCACGTAATGTAAGAGCTGCTTTAAATATATCAAAGGAAGAGAGATTATGGGGACACAACAAATTATAGAGTTCAATAAATATTTCATGGTTGAAGATACTAATAGCATTCCAAAAATACTAAATAATTAAAGGGCAAAAGTGGCAAGAAAATAAATATAACTACCATGCAAGAAAAAGTACTAGGGAAACTAAGCGGGCTAAATATTGCTAAGTCAGGACTTAGCAGCAGGTCAGATACTAGGTGTTCTGCCCCTAGTTATTTCCCAAATCTTTTCCACCATTTACAAGGAACCAGTCAAGGTTGTGAACTCACCTGCTTAAGTCCAGTTCCAGAACAATCATAACCTTGATACCATCCAATGCAAAGCAACCCACTTTATTGGTGCCTCACTCACTATCTTTAAAGATTCATTCCCTCTCTCACTGGTGAGAAGGAGTGGGTGTGGTTTGTAAATCTATAATCTGGCCATTCAGCACCTGAGTGCAAACTTTATAAACTGCCAAAACCACCAGCCCATTGTTAATTTATGAGAGCTTTAATAAGTCATTAAATAGCAAATATATTCTTTGTACTTTAATTTGCTCAATATTTTGCTTGATCTCCATTCAAAGCATCTGTTCAAACTAAATCTACCAGTACTGGAGAAAATTGCTATTTGTGTAGCATTATGTTTCCCTTGTATAAAAAATTATCAGCTGTTATTCTCAGCCCCTTCCCAAGAAAAATATGACCTACTGTGGTCATATTACGGGACACAGAATCCCTACAGTGTGAAGACAGGCCGTTTGGCCCAACAAGCCCACACCGACCCTCTGAAGAGTATCCACCCAGACCCATCTCCCTATCGTTTCCCATGGCCAATGCACCTAACTGATACATCCCTGAACACTACGAGCAATTTAGCATGGCCAATCCACCTAACCTGCACATCCTTCCTTGGGCTATGGGAGAAAACTGGAGCACCAGATGGAAACCCACGCAGACATGGGGAAAATGTGCATTCTCCGCACAGATAGTTGCCTGAGGGTGGAATTGAACCTTGGTTCTTGGCACTATGAAGCAGCAGTGCTAACCACTGAGCCAATGTGCCACCCACCCCCAAGCCACCATGCTGCCCCCACGAAGTGTGACTAATATGATTGAATGTGTCCAACAAATTTACTGCATTAGTGACTGGACCTACAAATGATGCTGAAGTGAAACATTAATAACTATCCCACTGACAAAAAATGTGTCAAGGTGCTTACAGGAGAATAATTTTTTTGAAAAATCTGTGACACTGAGCTACATAAGGAGATATTGTGACCAATATCCAAATGCATGGGTTAAAGACGTAAATTCTAAGGAGTATTTTAATAGAGAAAAGTGAGACAAAGTATAGCAATGTAAAGAAGGAATTCTTGAGCTTGGGGCCCAGGCAGCTGAAAACGTGGCCATGGGTGATGGAGCAATTAATTCTCCCGATGCAGGACAGGCCAGAATTAGAGGGATATCGATATTTCAGAGGTTTAAGAAGCTGGAGAAGATTACAGAGGTACACATGTTAGTAAAATTCTAGAAAAAGAAAATAATTACTTAATATGTTGGATTGCATTAACTTCAATGAACCTGCCTACTAGAGAATTTTTATTTTCAAGAAAATGTATCCATTGTGCACAATATTTAAGCTCAAACTCTAATTTTTCTAACCCACAGAACAGCCTGATGGCCTGTGTCGAAAGCTTGGATCCCCCTGTGTCAGCCCCCAGCCACAAAAACCATGGGATAAAGATGCATGGGAAATTCCACGAGAGTCTGTGAAATTGGTGAAGAAACTTGGTGCTGGACAGTTTGGAGAAGTGTGGATGGGTATGTGACTGTGGTTACTTGGTTAACGTAATAAATGCACGAAAAGTAGAGTCATATCTGACTGAAATTATATATTGTGTGGGACTAAGAAGTAAGATAGAGGGCTAGATTCCTCCATTAGTGGTCAAGAGTCATAGCATGCGCCCTGTTATAAGTAGTCTTCTTTAAAAGATTTTTCAGAAATTTCTTCAGGTTGGGAGTTATGTCAGCAAGTGAAAAAATGTGCACTTTAATAATTCTGGTGCAATTCATGTTATTCTGTTATGTGGTTGAATTACTTTATCTTGAAGATAGATAGATATTATTCATGAATAGAACGATCATCTTAAATGTGCTAATTGAACATTAAAATCCCATTTAGTTATTACTGCACTGAGGAGAGGCTTGGATTGTTGATTACAGCTTGTTTTCGTGATCTCTTGTGGAATATACATGTTATCAAGACACGATCTTTAGTGAAATTTTTCAAGTTGCCCAAGAGATGGACACCAGCTTTATTTCTATGGGAATTACTTCAGAATCTACTCTAATTTGGACTGAAGATTACTAGATTTCTAATAGTGGTTTCCACATTATATCTTGTTATCACTATATATGTGGCTTTGTTGTCAATTGACATGTTTGGAAGTTTGAAAGAAGGAGTATAAAAGCAGGTGAATGACGTTAAAGTATAGCAGCTTTATCTTTTGATGAAGGTGTCCATAAGCGTTAGTGTTGTTGGACCTGGATATGGCTTGCAATAATACCTTTTATTGTTGCAGTTCTGTAAAATCAGTGCTTCAAGTTTTTGTATTATTGAAGGTGTTTCAGCACATTACATGATTAATCCAAATGCTTTGTGTAAAAACCTGCTGTGTTTTAAATCTAATGAGATATCAATGTGCATGGAGTAACATATTTTTAGAGGCAGCTCTTGGTGATGGCACTGGTGATGTTATAAAATTCATAATGCAGAAATAATACAGACACCGCATTGAAAAGTTGGTATAATTCTGACTCATTTATTGTACCTACTGACCTCATGAATAGAAAAAAATCATCCTATTTGAGAGAGACACTGGACATTATCAGGGTGCAATGGTTTTTATAGAAATAAGAATTGTTTGAGTTTGTTGCAGACAATTGCAAGTGGTTATTGAAAGTGGAGGGATTGAGTAGTTTCATGATCTGTTGTTTTTCTGTTTGTGGTGCTCAGTCTCAAAAGTCGTTTGGTATACACGTGAGCTATGCACTAGTTGATTCTAAAATAAACAGCAGGTAAAGCCTTTGGTAACTATTATGTAACTGTGTTAAATGCTGTCATTTGACAGTGTGTGAAATTCCTAGGTAAAAAATGATAATTTAGCTTTCATATTAAAAGAGCAAATATAATGGTGAAACAGACTTTCAATTAATATTTAAAACTAGATAAGTTTAATCACTTATAAGGTTAATAAGATTAAGGTAAATACTAGAGATCATAAACATGCTGTGAAGTGGAATGGATAGAATGGGCCAGGTCATGAGTTGTAAGTTTCATGCACCAGTAACTTTACATAATCAGCATCTAGTAATACAAACCACATATAATTTGTTGTACTGTTTGTTCTTGTGCATTTCATTATTGACATGAAATCATTCAAAGTACAAAGTATAGACTTCATCACTTTTCAGACAATTAAATGTTTCATGTTTTTTTCTAGATGGTGAAAAATCAGATATCAATTCCAGGAAGTATGTAGGTTCTTCAGACATAAGCTATTTAGGGTGGCCCGAAGTGCAAGATGTTTCCTCTCATTTGCGCAGCTCGGTTGACATGCACATTCTTCCTTTGTGATTGTTCTTACAACTGGCACAACACATAAGTCAGCAGTGCACATTTCCTCTGCTTCTGTCAACTATTCCTTTACAGTAAGGTTTCTTACAATGACTTGCACAGGACAAGGAAAAATTAGCAGCTCTGATGGTTTAAGTTTGGGGTCATCATTTATAGAATGCTTTACAGAAATGTACTTGTTTTATGCTTGGCAGAAAATGCTCTTCGGACCATTTGCAGCAAATTACAATGTATAGTTGGCTTTGAAATCATGAAATGATTTAATTTTTTTAAAAGAGAATTATCTGGTAAAAACAGCAGTTTGAGAATGTAATAAATGAAACAAGGGCTAGGTGGATCTCATTGATGATGAGATCCTTGATTGGGTTTGTTAACCTGGGCCAATAAGGGACCCCAGGCTGACAGATATTAACAGCAGATTCAGAGTGGTTCCTCATCTAGGGACAGGCTCTAAGCTGGCTGATCAGGGCCCAGATACTGTGTACATGTAAGTGAAGGGTGACTTGGTGATGGGATACTTGCCTCCTTGGAGTTATTACAGAGAACATGGAGAATTGGGGTGGGGAGGGCAGATTTTGTTCTGTTAACTATATTTATTGAAATGATGAATATACTTAGAGTAAGTTTGATTTTGCTATCAATAAAAGGAAGTTATTTCTTCAAAGATGAATAAATGTCTTACAAATTGATTTCTGTAATGTTGGAACTCTCATCTGTGGAGTATTAGTAAGGACTGATAGTAGTGTTAGGTTTTGGTTTACCTCTTGGAACATTGAGAAGTATGTCAGATTTATAAATTCAATGTGGCAAACAAAATCTTACAGGAGATAAAGGCCTAACTCTGCCTTATTTATGTAATAGATTGTACATAGCTTGTCAAAAGAGGATACATTTGTTCATCAATTCTTTAAAAACAGCTTTTAAAATACTATGATAGGGAGCCTATTGGTAGTTTTGCAATGAGGCTCAAGACAAATTAAACTTGAGCTAAACCAACCTTTAGCCTTTGTGGCTTTAATCTGCAAAGTATACGTTCAGTGTTTCATTTTACGTTATCGCAGAATTTGAGCTTTTTCTTGCAGAGAAGTATGAAGTGGTAAATTCCTCCTGGTACAAAAAGGAGAAGCAATATAATATGAAAGGCATAATTATAGCATCAAGGAACAGAGAGATCTAACGTTATATACACAAATTGTAAAAAGTGGCAGAACAGATTGACAAATTGGTTAAAATATATAGGTCCCTGGGTTTTCTAAACGGTGACAGAGATTACAAAAACAATTAGGTTATGATTATATTAGTAAAACTCTGGTTGGTTTCAACTGGAGTACTGTGCCAAATTCTGAGTACCACACTTTAAAAAGAATGTGAAGATTTCACAATGCAGAAAATAATTATGAAGATGATTTCAGGATGGTGGGATTGTTCTATTTGAATAAATTACAGAAAATTACCTTGCTCTCCTTAGAGAAGAGAGGCTGAGAAGATTTGATAGAAATGATCAGAATTGTGAGGGTAGATGGAAAGAGACTTGTTCCCATGGGTGGAAGTGATGAGGACCAGATAACTCTGATTTTAAGATGATTGGCAAAAGAATCAAGGATAACATGAGGTCAAGATTTTCAGTGCAGGTGTTAGAATCTAGAATAACTTGCTGAATGCAAGGTGTGGTGGAAACAGTTACAATTGGGGTTTTCAAAAGGAAATTGGATAAGAACCTGAAGAAAGAAATATACTTGGCTACAAGGTAGCAGAGTGGAATTGACTGAGTTACTGTTAACAGAGCCAGGCCTCTAACTTTGGGCCAGGAGGCCCCAGGTTCAAGTCCCACCTACTGCAGAGGAGTGTAATGACATCTCTGAACAGATTGATTAGAAAATATCTTTAAATGAGTCAGCATGGATCTGATTGACCAAATGATTTTCTCCTCCTGTGGTGTAACTATTCTATCATTCTTAGTTAGATAGGATTTGCCTTTAATAAATCTATGCTGGCTCTCCTTAACTGACATATGCTTTTCCAAATTTACATTTATTTTGTCCTTGGTTGCTTTTGATTACTTACCAATCAGCAATATGACTATAGTTTCCTATTTACACCTATCTCCTTTCTTGAATAGTGATTTAACATAACAAATTCCCGGTCCTGTAATGTCAATCCTGTACTCAATGAGGATGGAATGTCTCTGCAGCTTTTTATTTTTGATTCTTTCAAAGATCTACGATGCTTTCCATTAACAGGTTACTTAACCATTTTCAGCAATGTTAATCTTTTCAAGTTTTGTCTGCCCATTATTGTCCTGGTCATAAATCCATTCTGCTGTTTTAGCGTAGCCTTCATATCATCCACTTCCTTTGAAGAAAGATATGAACTAGTTTCATAGTTTTGTCTTCTCATGAGAAGTTTCTTGAGACCTTGGCTTCAAAACTTTAAATGTCACCCTAGCAAACTGCTTCAAAATTCAGTGATAATTTCAATTGTGTAGCTTCATGTGGGATCATGCCGACATACAGCCAATCAAGGACAAGAATGCTGTGTGCCATTGCTTGCATGAATTACATGCTGTCAGATCAATGATATGGAAAAAGGGAACTCTGTCCTAACATGTGAATGTGACATTACATGATGTCTCATAGTCTAAATGGTTGCCGTGATGTCATGATACCAAAATTGGACAACACAGCTCAGGCAACCCAGGAGAAGAAGAGGTCACCTACTTCTAAACAGACTGTCACAAAAATTGGGGCCGCATTGGAAGTGCCTCTGCTCTGCAGCATCAAAAGAAGATGCAGGAGAGGGCAAGCTCAGTGTGAGACCCTGCTCGAAATCAGATCCAAATTCCCCAATCCTCCTTGATGGTGACTGGAGGCTATTGGGCAGCTAGCCAATGCATCCATTGCATAGTCCATTTCCTTTAAGTACTGCCTGTGCTGCTCCATTAAAGTCCTCAAGTAGGTCCTTTATAGAAACATTAGAACAACAGAATAGCAGAACTCATCTGAAACCTCAACTTCAGATAGCTGGCAAGTCTAGCATCCCTGCCCCCTGACCTGACTGCAGCCCACTTATGCCCAGTTGATTTACCCAATTATGCCCAGTTGATTTACCGCAATTGATTCCATCTCTGTACTAACCTCCAATGTACGTGCAGTGACTGAGGTAATGGCTGCAACTGACCCAGGCT